TGAAATGCTTCTTGCTGAAATTATTTATGTATTATTATCAATTTATTTCCTTTAAGGATGATGTCGACACACCCGTCATTTTCTGCCGCTACCCATTCCTGTTCACTCTGGTTCGAAAGGTGGCAGTCTTTAACTACTATGCGTTTATCTCAAAGGTACAGTATTCGTAACATTAGATCATTTCTAAACAATTTTTCATAATACATCTGAGGTTGTTTCTTGTTTTGAGCATTCATTTGAACCAATCTGTCAAAGTGTAGATTTCTTTATTAAGATAAAGATATATTAAGGTTTTGTAATTACAGAAAGTGCAGGGTTTCCTTCATGGACTGGCCTTGGCGTGTCCTGAAGAGCTCTGGTTGGACGGCCCAGACTCCGCCCCCGCGCCGGTCTTCCAGCTCACCCTGAGACGCTCTCATCTGGTGGAGGACACCTTCAGACAGCTGGGGGCGGCCGACCACTGCGCCTTCAAGAGGGAGCTTTTGGTAAACATACTACAACATACCTACAAAATGTTGCCATGTTTAGTTGCCTGAGGCAACATTTTGTAGCCCTTGTCTTTTTATACTTAGTTTCAGAGTTATTTTATGGATACTTCAGCCATTTAGTGTTGCACTTCCATATGTTGTGGGATTCACAAGAAATAAAAAACTGTCAAAATCACAGCAATGTAGGCTGAGATATCTGAAGATCTACTCTCTGTAACGGGTCAAAAATCAACAACATCTGTATCCTACGGTCCCCACAATGCTACAAAGCCCAATACTTTTTACTTTATGTGTAAAATCAGTTGACTTCATTTTGAGCAAAATGTCAATTACAGTACATATTTAAGAAGTAATTGGAGATAATTAAACATAACAAATGTGTAGAGGGCCTGCAAACATCAGTACCAATTGATTTTTTAAATGTGAATAAAATAAATGTACAGTTAAATTGATAAAACTTGCCCATCAATAGCAGCATTTGGTGGATTGTGTAAGGGGAGTTGTTGGTATAGTAATTGTGCATTTTTGAATGTGTTGCTTGATTAAATCCCTTCAATTAGTTCTAAGCCCACAATGGATGACAGGAAGTTTTATTTACCAGAGCTGATACTGATTTAGTTTAAGGACTGTTAATAATGAAAACATTATTTGATCCTTTGAAGGTGCAATTTGATGAAGACAGGAAGAAGGTGATGGATGTCTACAAAAGAGATTTCTTCCTGCAAGTGATTAAAGAGCTGATGTCTCCCAAGTCTGAAATGTTCATGTTCAACGAGAGCAACACTCTGGCCTGGTTCCCTGTCAGGGTAAGACACGATATTTAAACACAAATGCATGAATTAAATCATTTTATTTACTTAGGGCTGGGTAAAATGGACCAAAACTAATATCTATGTTTTTTTAAGACTGAATACATCATATATATATATATATATATATATCGCTATTTCTTTATTAAGTGGGCTAAATGTATATTTGCAAGTCTTAGCCACATGTAAGATGTTTTTCCGAACACTTTTAGGAAAGAGATTGTGAGCAAAATGAAAGACCTCTGGTTTTCCTCTCTTGCTTAACATATCCCACAGCTGTGTGGATGGGGCGGTCCCGCTGCTCATTCTTGGAGGGGCTGCTTGGTACATTAGAAAATATATTGGTATATTGTCGATATACTGCCCAGTCCTCTATACATTTGCAATTCTTTTTTTTTAAACAAATTCCTCATTTGAATGAATTTAACAGAGTGATCTGATTACTATAAAAGTCTTATGAACAAAGACGTGAATGTATAACTCTGATTTTTCTGATGTCTGATATACTGTACTGTACTTTTGACCTGTTCATCGTTATTGAATCCTACCAAATCTTAATGTGTTTTGTTATAAATCAAACAGCCAAAAGTAGAGGAGAAGACTTACTTCCTGTTTGGCGTTCTGTGCGGCCTGGCTCTCTACCACCACAACCTTGTCCACTTGCGCTTCCCACTGGTTCTCTTCAAGAAGCTGCTCAAGGTCAAACCCTCACTGGACGACATGAAGGAGTTCGACCCTGTCATGGGAGAGTAAGACTCAAATATTCTTTCTCTGAAATGTTTGCAGGTTATAGTTGTTTCAGATTGATCTTTTTGTATTATTGACTTTCTTGTTTACAGGTCTTGGCAGATCCTGTTGGACTGCCCTCCTGATAAGGTCAACAAAATTACTTTCACTGTAAGTTTACTCAATCGCAGTCCGAAAGGCATTCTTCTGCTCTGTTGCCCACATGTGTTTCTGCATATTCCACTCTGGCTGTAATCGTTTGTTTGACCAGGTGCCCTGGGGCGGAGAGACAGCTGAACTTGATCCGAAAGAAACTGGGAAAGTTGTGACAGCGTCCAACAGGTACGGTTAACTGTTGTATTTAACAATCTGATCTGCACAGCTTTAGTCTGCCTCACAAGCTTTAAACATGTATTTAGTTTCTGTCAGTCTGTGTCTTTGACAACCTCCCAGATTTCTTGCCATTCAGCAGTACATGCTGTCAACAAACACACAATGATCCATTCTTACGTCGACTGCAAATCTTTGCTGCCATCTAGCAGTTAAACCTGTCATAAAAAAATACATTATTTTCATTAAAGATGTAGCGTTGAGTTGCTCTACTGTGTAAAGTGTATTACAGAAGAAACATTTAGAATTGTTTTAGGTGTGGGATAACTCAATGTCAGCACTCGGTTTAATCTTTTGTATATTCTTTTATTAAATGTTTTAATAGGAAAGAGTTTGTAGACGCCTACGTCAACTATGCCTTCAACAAATCAGTGGAGGGAGCATTTGAAGCATTCAAGAAAGGCTTCTTCAAAGTGTGTGATATCGACGTGGTGGAGTTCTTCCAGCCCGAGGAGCTGCAGGCAGTGATGGTGGGCCAGGAGAACTACGACTGGGAGGTGTTCAAGAAGGTCTGCTGAAGTTCAGAATAATGTTTTATCTTATGTCTGAGGATATTTCATTTGAAACAAGAATATATCACAAAAATATGGAGAACAAGATGACCAGTTTGTTATGTAGTTGTTTAACATACATTTTCAAATTGTAAGTGACTGTTTCAGTTAAAGGTCACATATTATGCAATATGCACTTTTTCATGTCTTTTACACAGACATATACATATATATATATACTGTAATGTCTCCCCTGTGTGTAAAGATACTCAGAAAGTTTCAGCAATAAAGAATTCAAATGTTCTGCTGATCCACATATTTAAAATCCTGTCTAAGAAAGAGCAAATCAGATTTGAGATACCATTCGACAATCGACAGCTAGTGGGGAAACGCTGACCAATGAGAATAGACTGAGCTTTTGGGAGAGGCTGAATACAGCTCTTTTCAGGCAGGCAGTATGAGAAGAATAATGGGGTTTTTAACATTACAGCATATAAACATATTCTAGTAGTCTCCAAATGTTTTCCTAAAAAGGTATTTAACATGAGACCTTTAAGATATGCTCAGTTACTTTGCTTGTTCATATAGTTTTGTGTGTTTAAGTGCTTGTAGGGGAGATGTAAAGTAACTTTCCACATGTCATTTCCAAACAGAACACAGTTTATGAAGGAGACTACCATGACAGGCATCCAAACATCGTGACCTTCTGGGAGGTGTTTGAGAATCTGACCGCGGAGGAGAAGAAACAATTATTTCGTAAGTATTGAAATGATTGACATCATTTATTCCGTTTCAAGTGGAGTCCCTATCAGTATTAGCTTCCTTGGTGTTCTATGAAGTTGTATTTCTTTAATTTAAGATTCTTTATTTGTTATCAGTGTTCGTCACCGGCTCCTACCGTGTTCCCTTCCTGGGTATGGAGAGTGTTCAGATGAAAGTCGCAGTGTTACCCGATTCCACCGAGATCCATAAGCCAGAATCCCTCACCTGCCACCATCTGCTGTTACTGCCCGTCTACCAGAGGTACCCGGCCGAGAGGACCATGCACACCAGGCTCCTTCAGGCTATTAATCACAACAGAGGCTTCTGAAAGAAAGCAGACGTTACAGAATGAAGTAATGAAGTCCGCATTATTATCATTTAAAGAGTTGTTATTTTTGTCGGAATAATCTGCCAGATGTAAGCTTCATCAGCAGTCCATATTCTATTATTCAGTAGTTTGAGAAACAGTTTATGTATGTATTTTATTTGTATTTGTTTTGATTGCACCTAAACATGTTGACATATTAAGAAATCATTTGATCATGTTTTTTGGGAACTCTGTTATAGGTATGACCGGTGTTTTAGCATAAACACACATTTGAATAGGGAAGAAAGATTTAAAAATAAATGAAAACTGCCTGACGTAACACAACACTTTAAAGTGTATAGTGGGCCAACATTTTAAAATCATTCTCCACAAATTGTGTGTCCAGAAATCAGGCTACTGCCATTTCTGTCACTGTTACAGTAGGTGCACTCTGGATTGAGCACCATGCTTTTGAAACATTATGACATTCTTAGCATTAAAGACTTCTTCCGTTCATGTTGTACAAGTTTAAAATGTAAGTTAATATTTTATGTTTGTGTGATCAAAGTAAAACAAAATCTTTGTTAATCAGGAAATGTATTAGTTTCGTAACTTTGTAACCTAACAAACTAAATAAATGTGTTTCTCTTCAATACCGGTTTGCAGTTTAGCCAATATATTTTTTACGTGTTGCGTGTACTATAGGTCAGCTGTGAAGTCTTTAATATCCATCAGTGTCTGGTTATTTCCTAGCTGACTCAAGTAAATTGGAATTGTCTTTTATAAAATACTATTCTTGATTTAGTACTTTTAAAGCAGGCCTGATATACAATTAACAATGAAAAGTGTAAACATTAAGCTTAAAAACGAATAGGCCAATAGAGGAAGTCCAGGTTGCTCAAAGATTTGTACATAATTCCTCTCCATGTAATGCAAATGTAGCTGTAATAGGGATTACAAACAAAAACAGTTTAACATGAGAAACAAGTAAAGCACATTTCGAGCACATAAGCACACAACTCAGCAGCTCCATCAGTTTGACTTTATTAATTTGTCCAATCGTCATATCATTTCAATGGCTTGATTTGATAGGTCGTATGCTTTCAGCCTATTTAATAGTGGAGGATGAGATCCATTTATGATTAATCCTAAAAAAAGAAAGTATATTGCCAGATATATGTATATAGAATGAGTCATTTATAACAAGATGCTACAATTTCAGTTATCCGGTTTGAATTAACATTGTCAAAATATTTGGAAAAATGTTTTATTGGCACCTCAGTCTATTGACAAAACCGTTTCATCATCAGAAATGTCAACTGAATTGCAAAGATCCTGAATTGTTAATAGTTTCCTGAATTAATTTGAATGTTTATAAATCCTACCTTGGTTTGAGTAAACATTGGCAACATAAAAAAGCTGACACTTAAGGTGATTTACATTAAAGCACATGAAAGTATTTCAAGTCAACACATTTTCACAGGACAGACCATCTCATCTCTTCCCTTTATAACACCAGACTTTCAATATGAAAAGCAGTAAATCATTTACTTAGTTTTTAAAAAGGATATCAAAGTCAACTCGACATTGCAAGGTCTGCACCTTAAAGTCGTGGCTTACACACAGTTGATATTTCTATTCAACAGTTGTCAGGCAGCAAAGATCATACATGTATCAAAGCACATACAAAAAGATTAAAACAGAGGTGCTACGGCACCCAGTGACACCAGTTAGATAACCCTCGGTTCCAGATGATGAAAGGTTTTTCTCTCAGCCGCAATATAAACATTAGGCGCTGTGAAAAGGTTATTTGAATCTTCTTGTCATTCCATGGACGGTTAGTGTGCTTTCTTCGAGTCGGCTCAGAAAAATTACATGCGATATCAGACCAGCATCCGCCGTGATAATACTTTTGCTATTCACATCCATAAATAAACCTAAACAAACATAATCAACAAATAATTACACAGAAAAACCCAACATAAAGCCACTTTTGCTACACAATTTTGAAGACATGACATATAAAAGGACAAAAAAAAAGGCAACAATTTTCGAATGACACAGGACTGTGCTGTGAGAGGAGAGACAGTAACGCCTCACATCTTCTCTTAATCGTCTTTTAGCATGTGTTGTTCAGCTCCATGCATACATGGAGTGGGTCTTATTATCCAAAAAGCTGTGGGCCGTTGTGGGTTACATCCAAGTCCAGCTCCTCTGATGTGTGTGTGTTTCTACGGGCGGTGATATGGAGTTCAGACAGCAAAGTCCATCTATTACAAATGAGTGTGTGGGTTTTATCTGATCAGGTGGTAGGTGAGCCAGAACATGAAGAGGGGCTGAGCTCCTGCTATAGACATGGTGAGGTACATCCTCAGCTGGTTTCTGGATCCTCTCACCTGCCTCCCCTCCGCCGCCGCCTCCGATAACAGCTTCAGACGTAGGGTTCGGATCTGAGGAGGGACACGTTGGAGACAATCTTTATATCAACCATTCAAAAACAACAGCATATAAGTGAGCTGACCTCTCCAAATAGTAATACTGCAAATAGATAGGACAAAAAACCTCCCAATATCATGCAGTCCGGCATAGCAAGGACCTCAATAACAAATGTAATACATATATAAATATGTCTTTTGCTAGCTAGTTCTATGTATGCTAGCCATGTGAAGGTACAGGGAGGATTATTTTTGCATTAAAATGTAGATGTGAGCTTAACAAGGAGCAGAAAGAATGGTAGAAAGCTTTGGAGGGTGAAGGGGAGGGTGTCAAGCGAGCAAGAATGACGTTTTTTCCTGAATATTTAGTTGTATGCAGTGACAGGCATCTAATATAACTCCTGTGCAGCAGGCACCTGCCCTCAGTTATTTGTAAACAGGAAATCTGTCTATTAAGACAAATTATTTCAAGCCTCAGATGTTAATAGATATTGCTCCTTACCATGAAGACAAAGATGGCAGCGCAGCACCACAGCAGAGAGAGATAGTACGCTGGCCGACCGAACAACAGGCCTGACACAACGCCTACGATCATCCTGAGGAAACAGAGGGGAGACACACAGTCACAGGTTAGGCATACAATACACAGATCATTAGTGTTAAACTAAGAACCTTTAAGAGATGTTGTGTTCGAAGCATTGTTCTAGTGAAAATAAGCCAATACAAAAATGAGCAAAATTAAGAAATACAAGTGAAGAAGAAAAAACATAGAAAGATGGTGTACACACCCAACGTATTTGTATCCAGAAAAGGCCAGCAGGTCAATGGTGGTGAGGTCAGTGTTGACGGTCACCAGGTAGAGAGACAGTAGGACTGCCAGGACCTCCATGATCAGCCACACCAACGCCGAGCTGGCCTGAACTCCCAGCAGCTCCGGGGAAAACCTGAAGGTGCACAGAAAGATACAGTCTCTATACATGTACATACTGTGAACTCATTACATCATTATCTATCAGGGCTCTGTTCTTGGTCCCCTCCTCTTCTCCCTGTACACAAACTCGCTCGGATCAGTCATTAGCCCGCATGGTTTTTCTTACTACTGCTACGCTGACGACACCCAATTAATTCTGTCCTTTCCCCGCTCAGAGACCCAGGTCGTCGCACGCATCTCTGCTTGTCTAGCTGACATCTCTCAGTGGATGTCTGCTCACCACCTCAAGCTCAACCTTGACAAGACTGAGCTGCTCTACCTCCCGGGAAAAGATTGTCCCACTCTTGACCTAACAATCAACATCGGCACCTCAGTTGTTTCCCCGACTCAGACTGCAAGGAATCTGGGTGTGACCCTAGATAACAACCTGTCCTTCACTGCAAACATCGCTGCTACAACCCGTTGCTGCAGATACACGCTTTACAACATCAGGAGGATGCGTCCCCAGCTGACTCAGAAAGCGACTCAGGTTCTGGTCCAGGCTCTCGTCATCTCACGCCTAGACTACTGCAACTCCCTCCTGGCTGGTCTACCTGCATGTGCCATCCGACCTCTGCAGCTCATCCAGAATGCAGCGGCTCGTCTGGTCTTCAACCTTCCTAAATTCTCCCACACCACTCCGCTCCTCCGCTTCCTTCACTGGCTTCCGGTAACTGCTAGAATCCACTTCAAGACACTGGTACTTGCGTACCATGCTGCGAATGGATCTGGCCCTTCCTACATCCAGGACATGGTTAAACTGTACACCCCAGCGCGTGCACTACGCTCTGCATCAGCCAAACGACTCGCTGCGCCCTCGCTGCGAGGGGGACCCAAGTTCCCATCAGCAAAAACACGTGGGTTTGCTGTCCTGGCTCCAAAATGGTGGAATGAGCTCCCCATTGACATCAGGACAGCAGATAGCTTGCACATCTTCCGGCGCAAACTGAAAACTCATCTCTTTCGACTCCACTTCGAGCGTTAGAACTATTAACAAAGCACTTATATACTAATAAAGGACTGGATTACCTAAAGCCAGTTGAGTAGCACTTGAAATGTTTGGCTCTATGAAACCTGATGTACTTATATGATTCTGTTTTCTTCAAGGTTGTGTCTTCCTGGTCGAATGTACTTATTGTAAGTCGCTTTGGATAAAAGCGTCAGCTAAATGCAATGTAATGTAATGTAATCTATTAGCAAGCTGAAGTGGCTATAAAAGGCTTTGAGCATAAGTATATAAAAACATTTTCATCCACTAGATACATGTTGATATTTTTGCAAAAACCCTGAAGTTGAAATCCTGGTTTTAATTCATGATATTGTGAGTTCTTTGAAGGTGTTGCTATCCTTTAGCCGACAGAAGGCAGTTTTTTGTAATGCCTTTTGTGCATAAGAAAGTAAAGCTAGCCATACAATTAGGAAGGCATAAAAACCTAACCGTCAATACTCAATGCTTAGATGACTAATATCTCTTTTCCAACCAGATAGGAGGACCAGGGTTGTATGTACTTGTTCTGTGTGCCGAGGGCAAGTCCAGCCACCAGGATGTATGTGATGAAGGCCATGGCGGGAATGTAGAGATCAGGAGCGTTCACATCGAAGCGCGGAGCCACAGGAGTGTCCTGCTGGTAGCTCACCTCCCAGTTCTACAACACACAGGATCACACACTTAAAACATGCTAAATTGTTACTGAATTAATTGTAGGATAAAGCATGTTGTATGGTAGAATAGATTCCTGTAACTGTATTACCTTTTCAAGGAATTTAAACTACGGGCAGAACTAGAAAATAAGTGTTTTCTCTCCATTTAAGGAAAGCCCTTATAAGCTCAAAGGAAACAAATCTGCACATTTTCACATAGAAACAATTACCTCCACCAGCGCAGGCATAACATGTATTTGTAGCAGGACTTACCTCATGCATGTAAGGGAAAACAAGAAGGCCCAGCTTCTTCCCCACGTACACAGTATCCACGGCAAAGTAATATTTCAGCTTAGAAATTGGAATGAACCGGTCCAGCTGAAACATAGAGACACACACGTGCATTATTCAGACAGCTTTTGCCTTGACTTTATATATCGCCAGGCGTTTGACACCATTTTGAAGATCCCCTTTGTCATAAGCAATGCTATGAAACATTAATGACTGTCTTACATTCTTGTCCACCATTTCCCTCCCCTGGGAGGCCAGTGAGCTGCCATAAGCCATCGCCAGGTTAGACATTGGGTCTGACAGGAGGGACTGGCCGGAGAATCCTGCTGCTTGAAGCCCAGCCTGCTGGTTACTGCCAACAGGACACAAGAACATGTTAAGTATAGGAACATAATGTGTCATAGGGCTAATAAAACACAAACATGTAGTCAACTTTATTGGGAGGAGTGACGATACCATAAACAGCTGCAAAGCTCAATTAAAAGATAGTACATTAGTTGGCGTGATGTTATCACAGTCTCCTGATTTTGTATCGGACACGTTAATTCAAAACAGAAATGGACAGTATATCCTAAACAGTTTAATATCCAGCCTAACTTCAGACTGTGTCCCACCTGTATCCTGCCTGTGGTCCCGCTGCAACTCCACTCGTATCCTCAAACAGCTGGCTGCCATCTGTACCGTCCATTGAGCTGTTTCCCATATGCATATTAGGCTCTGCATGGAGAAACAGACCGGTAAGAGATATTTCAAACAAAAGGAGTAGATTTGGACCTCTTTTTATGAACACTTTTTATGTCCTTCATATAAATCTGATCTTCAAATGCAGTGACATCCAAGACCAGTTACTCCGTCTGCCCTTCCTGTGGACATGCTGATTATTTTTAACATGTAAAACTTTCAAACTTTCTTTTTTCAAACATAATTATTTCCTTTTGTTGTATTCTTACTCAGTCTGACAGCATATAACAGACATTAAAAACTTTGAAATATGCATGGACCTCCGTTGGTTAACTACTACACACCAAAACAGTTAAGGTATTGCTTACATAGTGGTAAACATCAGCATATTTAATGCACCACTGCTTCAGCATCATGTTTAATCAAAATACAAATCAAGATCAGAGTTTAAGGATCAACTATTTGTATGACTGTGCATTAAAGGCCAGTGAAGGCCCTGTGCAGAAGAAAGCACTCTTTATATCCATTCCCTCAGGGAGTAATAATAACCTTATCACACATGTATCACTAGGCCAGATTACATCACACCTTAGAAGCCACTTAGTTTCAGTTTGAACCTCCCTTTCCACATAATCCTAATAGCAATACATGTATGATGGATATAGATATAAAACCTACAGAATGATAGGCAGTGGCGAAACGTCACTGAGTCAATTTACTCAAATACTGTACCAACAATAACAACAAACAAGAACCATTTTGAGGGACTTGTATACTTTACTTGAGTCTATCAATTTATCAATACTTGTTTTTTCCCCCACCACAAATCAGTAGTAAAAGTACGTATTGTGAAAATGAGTCCATTTTAGAATATGATGTTTTTTTATAATTATTGATGCATCAATGTGTTTATCAAAGTTACTAAAGGTGCAGATAGTTTTAAATAGCTGCTTGTGAATGTACTCCAGATGAGACTTAAGTCTTGTTTTAGTGTTGATTATATTTCACATTATTAATCCAAATCGACAAAGCTACTAAAGGTATTAAATACATGTAGTGGAGTACTTTTAGTACACAATACACCTCTGAATTGTAGAGGGGTAGAAGTACAAAGTAGCATCACATGTAAATACTCAAGTAAAGTACAAGACTCTCAAAATTGTACTTCAGTATCGTACTTGAGTAAATGTACTTACTTTCCACCTCTGCTAACCAGTAACCATTATAAATGTATACAGTGTTTATTAATAGTTTGTGGCAAGCTAACGGCTACTAACGTTAACTCACCATTCATTAAACAGATAATATCTCTCAGATTGGCTAACGTTAGACTGGTGGACTAACAGAGGACTGTTTTTGAGTCTCTGTTTTTACAAGTTGTTATATATAGCTAGTTGTTAGCCTCAACCGGCTGGAACCAGCAACACCTCCACTCAGTTCCGTTTACACTGCAGAGAGCTAGCAAGTACAGAATGTGCAAATGCAGGCGTTAGCTAATATTAAAAGCTGAGTTGATTGACAAAATCACGTACGTAACTTACGCTGTCTGAACCCACTTTGAGTTGCAGTATAATCCATTTGGACCGTTAGGGTTGCAGCAATAGATGTAGGTTCACAGACTCCACTACGATGCAGATGCTGCTAGTTAGCAAGCTACGGGGCGAAGAAGAACATCTGACACGGAAGTAAACGGTTTCTGCTTCTTCTTCTTTAGTTTAAATTACACACCTCAAACCAACATGAAAGGTTAATACCGCCACCTACTGTTATAAATAATTCCTAACTTTATTTATTTATTTAAACATCCAGAGGTGGGAAAAGTACTAAGATCTTGTTACTTCTGGAGTAGTGAATTTTACTCCAGGTGTGACTTTAGTCATTTGTATGTAAATTAAATATTAAAGTTTCATAAAAAAAAACACTGTCAAGGGTCATTCTCCATAACAAGAAAGCTTTGTATATTGTATATTGTGTTGCTTCGTCATTTATGGTCCCTGCTTGATTTGCAGGTTATGATTTACTTTGTTTTCATATGTGTCACTGAGGGATTTTCCACACACAGACGTAACATCTATTTTTGAAACACAAGCAGCCACATTCCTGTATCTAGAGCTACACAACAGCGATAAACATTCAATAGGTCATGGACGACGAAGGTACGTTTTAACCGTTTGTTGTTTGACATTGTTTTTTCTATAGAACAGAATAACAATGTATATACTATAAGTCTGCAATCACACTGGTTCTTGTTGTAAAGAAAACTGCGGGTATCCATGTGTGACTAATTGACACCCCACAACCAAAAAAGTGACATAATAAAATGGGTCTCATCATCAGACTGAATTATCAACAATTATTTGATGGATTGATTTGAAATGTGTTTCACACATTAATGTTACCCAGAAGAAAGAGAATAGTAGAGAATAACTTCATATGAGGGCTTCTCCAATACTCGCTTTTTGCTGTTTCTCTATGTAACCTTTTATTTAAAATCATTTGAAAACATTTCAATTTTTTCTTCTCAATAAGTTCCCAGAAAAAAATCATGTTAATCTTCCTCTTATGGGTAATACACGACTCTTTGCAATTGTCCTACATTTATTTCCTGGAAACATTTGCATATTATTACTTTCGGTTTATAGAATGTGTGTCTTACTCGAGTGTTGACATTTAAACAAGGGAGATGGAATGCTGCCAACAGAATAACAAAGAGCTAAACACTCGTACTTTATGTGACTCCGAAGAGGATCAGATCTCATGAGCCTGCCTGAGAAGATAGAAGTGTTTTCCATATTCGAGTGTGTGGACTCCACATCTGTAAAACCATGGCCCTAGTGTTCAGAGACAGACAGAAGTCAGAGGCAGACAGACGGCAAGGAATCAAAATACAGGTGCCATGTATTATTGCCATGTATTATTTTGTTCAATACTTATATTTTAAGTGGTTGTTTGATATTTTCTTATTTCAGCCTTTAAATACCATTGAATTGTTGAAAAGAAAATACAACTCAAAGATCTGTCTGAAAAAAAAAAAACTAAATGTATCCAGGTTACTGCTTTTTGAAGAATTTCTATAGATCATCCACTTATCAACAGAGATATCATTTTTAGATGTTGCTATACTTATAGTTCTAGTGATAAAGATCCTAAAATAGAAAATATATTGAAGAAATCACTGCCATAGTCAACCACTAAAAGGGATTCTCACATTGTTTTGTAGGTCTTGACCCAAATGAAGAAATACGAATGGTGCTTATTGGAAAGACAGGAAATGGGAAGAGTGCATCGGGAAACGCCATCCTAAATCGAATAGGCTTTTACATCAGTTCTCTCTCCGTGCTCTGTGACGTCAGAGTGTGAAAAGGCCAACGGAACGGTGAATGGACGCAGGGTTGCGATCATTGACACACCAGGAATTTACGATACAAAGTAAAGAGAAGAAGAGGTGGTCAGAAAGTTGAAAGACTGCATCTCTTTCTCTGCTCCTGGTCCCCATGTCCCCTGATTGTGGTCAAGTTGGGCAGATTCACAGAGGAAGAACAGAAAACTGTCAAATTCCTGTGGCAGGTGTTCGGTGACAAAGCTGCATATTATACTCCCACCCTGGTCCTGTTCACTCATGGTGACCTCCTGGGACGCACAAGGTGTGAAGACTTTTTCAGAAAAAGTAAACCGCTTAGTCACTTGATTGCGAAATGCAACGGTCGGTATCATGTCTTAAATAACAGAGTTCCTGAAAACTGTCAGGTCCCTCAGCTGCTTGCAGAGATAATAGGCATGGTCTGTGTTAATGGAGGAACATTTTACACAAATGAAATGTTCCAAGAGGCTGAGCGAGTGATCTGAGAACAAGAAGAGAAGATTAGGAAGGCCAGTGCCGAGCAGAAACACAGAGAAGAAGAAAAACTGAGGTTAATCTTGGAGGGCGAACAGCTGCAGAAAGAGTTAAAGTCTCTTGATAAAGACTATCAAACAAAATCAAGAGAGAAGGCTGAGAAGAAAAACAAATTCATTGAAGCTGGCATGATTGTAGCAACTGCTGAAGTGGGCATTGCAATCGGTGCTGCAGCAGGCTCTGTTGGAGGTCCAGTTTGCATCGCCATAGGAGCAGTATCCTGCAGATACTTAATACATACTTACAAATAGTGTAACTTAAAGTTGCACAAATCAATATTAAATATAAACGCTCATGTTTTCATTGAAAATTATCTTATACATCTACCTGTTCATAATTACATTCTGTCCGCTAAAGATCCAGGTTTATCCCTCAGGTGTTGGTGGAGATCAAACCAGAGCTAAAAGTGAATATTGGATTTAATATGTTGTGTTAGAAACATAACTCCGAATGAAGATTATTATGCCTCTTCTCAATGTGTTAATAGGCAATACATTAATGAACCTTCAATGCAATTTTTAAAACAATATACTACAGTTTCTGAGTAACTTCACTGGTATTTTGTAGTGGATATAACTTTGTTAAAAATGTTTACTTTGTGAGTTCCCTCAACAGTAAACCAGATTTGCGGACAGTGCAGTGAGAGCAGACAAAGAGCAGCTTTTGGTATTTGAGCATCTGTTCGTATGTGTGCATGTATGTGTGTGTGAAGCCTTTGGGGAGGCAAGTAACAGTCAGTCTTTTTTTAGTATAGCCTATATGTTTTTCTATCTATGTCAAAAATCTGTTATAGGCAGATGGGAAGTGGATGTGTAAAGAAATGTTCATAATGAGCAGACACACAGAAACGCTGCAAGCAAATAAAACAGTCAATTGTACAAACGGTTTGATAATAGATAAATAAATGTGAAAAAATGAAAGAAATACCTGTCTTTTTATCAGTCCACATTTGTCCTCTGACTCTCTTTTGTACAAAACCACTTAGTGTCTCACTCTCTCTGCTGACAGCTGGACTCACCAGCCCTCAGGGAGAATGACCATCTCTCCTAAAATGGACTGTACTGTGCGTAAGGGGACACACATTGCTTTAAAGCAGCGCTGACTCACATGCACATGCCTACACACTCATATAGGGCATACAAATGTGCAGTGTTTTTCTCGCTCTTACTGCTAACACACATACAAAGTCCCCAACATGAACTATTTTTGGGTTTTCTCATGCGGTAGTAACTGCTCCAAAGGCCACAGAGTACAATAAGGGTCTACAGTTAACAGCTTGCTGTGCTGTGACATTAGAGACACATAAGTGGCTTGGGGTGAAGCTGTCTTTAGAAATTAAATTCAATAACTCGGGAAGCTCATTTCAAGCAAAGACAAGCAAAAAAACAAAACGCTGCAAGCCTGGCAGTATCTGAGCAGTGCTGCATTTTCTCTGCTCTCTGATGGGTTGCTTCTGTGTTGGATCCTTTTTTTCAAATGTTCTCATGTAATTTGCACCTAAAAGAAAATACACTTTATACACCACACAGGGTCCTGGACAAGGGCGCCGGAAGCGGGGGGGCCAGGGGGCCATTGGCCCCCCCACTTTTCAGCCCTGCCCCACATTTTCGCAGCAGCAGATTTTTTTTTTCTTTTTTTTTTCTTTTCAGTCTTTATTTCGAACAGATTCAAAAATAACAAATACAAAATAACAAATGTTAAAAACAGAATACCGTATTGTTATAATACAGTATTTATCCACATTCATGGTAATATTTGTATATTCAACAAACAAAACAAAAAAAGTCTTCATATTAATAATAATAATAAATCATATGTGTCCGAAAGGGAGTAGGAGGAAGCAAATGCTTATTAATTCCCACCCCTTACTTGATCAATGATTGTCCTTTAAATCATTATGCAAGTTATTCCTACATACATTTATATTTATATATACAATAATTTCTCATCTTCAATCACCTTTCTTCATTCTCATATTTTTCCAAAAAAGTGTTTCTGTACATCCTTTTAAACTGAATTATGCTTGTGCTTTGTTTTAACTCCTGCTCCAAACCATTCCATAAAATCACCCCACAGATTGTTATACTCATACTTCTCAGAGTTGTTCTGACCTTGAGTTGTTTAAAATGTAGATTTCCTCTCAGATTATACCCACCCTCTCTGTCTACGAACAATGTTTTTAATTTCCTAGGAAGTAGATTATGTCTGGCTCTGTACATGATTTGTGCCGTTTTAAATTTAACCAGATCAATGAACTTCAATATGTGTGACTTCAAAAAGAATACATTAGTGTGTTCAAGATATTCAACATTATTGATAACTCTTATAGCCCTTTTTTGTAATGTGCATAACGGCTGTAGGTTGGTTTTGTACGTGTTTCCCCAAATCTCCACACAGTAAATCAGATATGGCAATATGAGTGTGTTATATAGAGTATGCAATGAGTTGTAGTCCAGAATGTATCTGGCTTTTCCCAATATTGCGATAGTTTTAGCCAGTTTTGCTTTTACATGAGTGATATGAGGTTTCCAGCTGATTTTGTGCTCTAAAACCACACCAAGGAACTTAATTTCATATACTCTTTCTATGTGTATGTTATCTAGTATTAATTGTATCTGTGGATTTGTTTTATGTTTTCAACGAATTCAACAAATTGTTGTCTGTTGCTTAAATAATCTCTCACCCAGTTTAATCCCACCCCTCTGATGCCATACCGTTCCAGTTTTATCAGTAAAATATTGTGATCTATGGTGTCAAATGCTTTTTGTAAGTCTATAAATATTCCCACTGCTTGTTTTTTATTGTCCATGCAGTTTG